GGGGGGACCCGCCTGTGTCATGAGTCTGCTGACAAAGTCTGAATCAGAACACGTGTGTGTGTGTGTTTGTGTGTGTGTTTTTGTGTGCGTGTTCGTGTTGCGTGGCAGAGACGGCTGTGGTGCACGGTGACGTCGCCATGCCGACCACTCTGGGCAGGAACGCGGACCCGTGCACGGCCAGAGGCTGCAGGTGGCCCAAGACCGGACGCTACGTCTACGTGCCCTACTACATCTCCCCGGACTACAGTGAGCCCCCCGACCTGACCTTTGACCTGCTCCTGACTCGGTTCAGACCCTCTAACGGTCCAGTCCGGTCCCCTTTAGCCCAACAGGAGCGGGGGGTCATCCTGGCAGGCCTGCAGAGCTTCCACCAGTCCACCTGCGTCCGCTTTGTCCCCTGGACTCAGACTCACCGGGACTACCTCCACTTCCTCTCCGGCCCCGGTGAAGGGTAGGCACTCACAAACAAACCAGACATTCCTCTTTTCTTCCCAGCAAAATAAATTAAAGTACATATTTGACCCCAATGACTTCCTCGTAGTTCCAAATACTTCCTCTTTAACGTCAGCCTCATCAGGAAATGCTCCAAATGCTCAAATAATGGGCTTCATGTGTGCAAAAGACTTATTTGATGTTTAACTCAAATTCAAGAGAAAAGAGAAGGATGTTGGGTTTCCAAAGTCTGAGTCAGACCATTTTTCTCTCATTATGTTGCTCTCGTGTACACTAAGATTATCAAGTATAGAGTCAGAGAGTACCTGTTAGTCCTGTATTTCTCAGTTTCTGACTTAGAGAAAATCATATTTACCAAAAATGGATGCATCTTTCACTCTCCAAATCAGAAAGCGCCATTTAAAAAGCCACTAAAACCGCAAAAACCACTCAGAAAACCTGTTTCTCTGTATCTAATTCGCCATAAAGGAAGTGGCCAGAGCCCCTGAAATTATTTAGATTTTCTCCTATGTGGCTTTACACATAGCCAAACTTTTTCACCCTTCAACTTAACAGTTTCAGTTCAGCTTTAGATTGTTGATAAGTTCAGCTAAACGGACCTTAAACGCACCATTCATAATTTACCCTATGTAAATGGTTATAGATGTGAGTTGAAAAAATGGTCACAAATGATGTTAGGAATGCATTTATGAATAAAATGACGGTAGGAGAAGCCGCATTTTGGACCCTTTCAGGCCTTGACGGGAACCCTGGTCCTGATCTAACTCAGACTGAGCTCAGCCCTCTGCTCTCAGGTGTAAGTCCTTCATAGGCCGTCAGCACGGAGGCCAGGGGGTTTTCCTGGAGAAAAAGGGCTGCCTGTACCAGTCCACGGTTCAGCACGAGGTCCTGCACGCGCTGGGCTTCCACCACGAGCAGGTCCGCTCAGACCGGGACCAGTACGTCCGGATCCTGTCCCAGAACGTCCAGCCAGGTCAGAACATCACGTCTGGACTCCTGGGTCAAGATGTTTAAACGGAGCCTTGTGACATCACCTATGTCAATAATGTGCAATATTCTTCTCTCACTGAGCAATAACACATAACAATACTGTGTAGTCTGTGTCATTTTCTACTTATTTATAAGGTCAGTACATCTCTTTACTAATAATCACAGTCAACTACTTAGTATTCTTTCTTTTTAGCTCTTTACTGTGCAGATATTTTATATCTAAAGGAAACAGATTCCAGGACATTACAACTTTTCTTATGCTCTTCTGAACCATATACACTCTTTTTATATTGTCTGTTGTATTTTTTATCCTCAATGGCATCTAGCTTTAACTCTGACCTTTGACCTCTACATAAGCTACTGGAACCAGAGTTTCCCTGAATGAGAAAATAAAGGGATAAATAAAGTTAAGTCTAAGTCTAAGTGACTGTTCTGACTTCTCTGCATTAACAGATCAGTTGAAAAATTTTCAAAAAGTGCCGACCAACAATCTGCTGACTCCCTACGACTTCAGCTCCGTCATGCATTACGGAAAGTAAGTTGGGTGTTTAATTTGTATAAAACACAGACACACTGTTTCAACCTTCTGACACCAAGAAAACACAAAAGAAAGATGGAGGAGTTTTGCTTCAGGATCAAATTCAGGGGGTGAAACATGGACATTTTGAGGAAGATTTGGGGAAATAGCTCTGAAATATGCAGCTCTGGATCAGATTAAATCAGCAAATTAAGTTTAAAAAGGATTAGAAACACCGTGAACAAAAGCTAAAGGTCAAGCTGGCAGTGACTTATTTGGTGAAGAAGGTTAAGCGTCTTTCCTTTGCCTTCAATCCGGTTTAATATAAAAAATATAATATAATATTAAAGAATATGCTGGAAATGGAAGAAAATGACAAATTGATGACAATTTAATTCCTCTTCTTAGCTCACACCAACAATTCCGTGTCCTTATTTACTATTTGTTTCTCAATCCCAGACGGTCAGAATTGTGAAACAAGAAAGTTTAACGGTGTGTTTCTGTGTTTTTTCTCATAAAAAAAACAAACCAGAGGACACAGATGGTCCTCTGATAGGGCTGACTCCCCCGTTTCTGCCCAGAAAGTCCATGAAGCTGCAGAAATCATATCGAAAATCGCTCTTCAATTGCTTTCATAAAAATGCTCCCGACCAACGGTGTATTTGTCGTTTTCAGATATGACTTCTCCTCCAATGGGCTGCCAACCATTGTGGCAAAGCACAATCATTACCTGGACTTTGGCCACGCCCATCAGATGAGCCCCAATGACATCACGCGCGTCAACAGGCTCTACGGATGCAGTGAGTAGCCACTTCTTCTTCTTTTTTATACCGTTTTTGGGGATAAACAGCTTGTTTCTCAGTGCTGATTGACTTGAATTCGGCTTATTTGTCCCCAAACAGAACAGTGGAGCCGGAGGAGTTTGCACCGAAGAGCCTGAGTTCATTGTAATTTGATTTTGTTGTAATTTTCTTATTGTCATTTGTTCACTGAGGCTCTGCTTTGATTGAAGGATTACAAATGATTGATTGACTTCTTACAAATCAGCAGGTGATTCTGCTTAGAATAGAATTTACACAAATCAGTTAAAAGTGTTTTAGCTGACGAATGCTCTCTGTTCACACCTGAACAAACTAACTAACCTGAACAAACAAACAAACAAACAGGATGAGGCGAGCACTGTCACGAAATCCTTTAAATGTTGCTCAAAGGACACATTAAACAAACCTGTAACACTGATGGTTGTCGTCATTTTTAACCTTTTAAAGCCTGATCGGAGAGAAAGGAAGATTTTTTTTAAATTTCTTGAAATAAAAAAAAGGAATTAATAAAGATAGAGTAGATACTGTAGATAGATAGATAGATAGATAGATAGATAGATAGATAGATAGATAG